TCACGTATATATTGAGATTCATGTTCAAGCAGACTATGTGCCAGTAAGAGCCAAAACAAGGTCAGAAGCAGCTCCTAAGCCAAACCAAATCATTACCCAACAAAAGCCTTGTATCCTGATGCTTGCCAGAGTCACTTGCCAAGAGCAAGTTTGATGAGAAAACCTGGCTGCTTCTCCTGAGTTGTTATAATGCAGTATGTCAGTTGCAGACTAAATGACTTTACAGCACTTGTTGGAAATGCCAGCACTAAGGGGCTTTATTTAAGCTACTGTGTTCCAGTTTCCCCCAAATGGCACTTCACAGCACACAGACCACTCAGCAACTCAGACACTGCAGTGCTCTGAATCCATTGCTGATATGCCTTAAATTCAGCTTTTAACTTGAGGCAAATTCAGTCTCTGGCAACTCTGAGGTCTAGATTTAATAGTACAAACTGAGCTCTTTCTCACACAAAATATCTTATTCCACTTGGAGTGAACTGTGATACAGAAGCATAACAGAATAACCAGTTTATTCAGGATAACAATAATTATTCAGTGCTTGGATTCAAGAGACATTCACAGTCCCAGCTAGAGGACATAATATCCTTTACCAGTGCAAGTTTTGGGAGATTACTCCAAGAGTAGGGCTGTGACCCAAATGCAAGATGTGTGGGTAACTGATAAGCTACCAACCATGTAACAGTCACCTGACCAGCAGCAGCTTACCAAAAGCATATCAAGTCTTTAGTTCACAGCCCAGAGCTCCACAGGTTACCAGTGTCTGCTTCTAGACTTGGTTTCTGGGCTGTCCAGAATCTCTCATCTGGAAGGTGACTCAAACCAAAACACCAGCTATCTGTCAAGCTACACATGCTGTGTCACTCACTCTGACAGCAGGCACCCTGCTTCAACTTTCCAGCAACTGGATTTGCCAGAATCATTTGTTTTATGCTTCTGTATCTGACTTAAATACACAGCTCTGCCAGAAGTTTTATGGGACTCATTAAGCAGTTACTAGGCAGGAATAATGTCTGCTCAGGAAAAGTATTGTTTCAACTACTCATATCAGTTTCACACTGGTATATTAAGCCACGGTGACAGTCGTTGCACTCTGTATTCCCCAAGTTAACTACTGTTGAATGAAAGCTGTTTAGTAAGACTGACAATGTGGTGCAAGTTGAAGCACTGGGATCTCTAACAATAGTTCCCAGGTTGGTTAAGCCTTCTCTAATGGAAGCAACTGCACACAAGGCTATGCCATTGTCAGCAGTTTTGATGAATAATATGCCTATAGCTGGAATAGATCACGGCCTGGAATCCTGCAAGTATTACAGGTAAGTCATGGGAGTGACCCTTGCCAAGCTAAAATGCAGCACAAAGTTCCTGATGTTACCACTTACTCTGCAAGCTGCTAAAGCTTCCTCCTCCATCACATGACAGCCTCATCGCTTCCACAGCAGCTCTCCTGGCAGCTCAGCTGGAAAGCCCCATTTCAACACAAGTAGGTTTGCCTCTGTTCGGCATGCTTTTACACTAACCATCACATTAAAGTCAGTTTGAAGCACAAGTGAAGCTTGTTTTTAATCTCAAGCATGACACCACCACATGAGTGCTGTTGCTCAACACACAGATTGTTTGATGCAAGTATTTTTAGGGTGGCTTCTACTGTTAGGAGTAACAGCAGAGGTACAGACTGCTAGTTAAGCTCAAAAAAAAAAACCCTGCCAGATGCAGCTTTTTGTGATGGGTGATGTGAAAGAATTTCACTGTTTTTGCCTAACGTGCAAGTAGAGGTGCCCATATACCATGGGTGAAACTGGCTACCTGCTCTAGGAATTGAAGCTTGCCATTACAAATTGTGCAACTAAGAACAACAGCAGTACAACACAGGCAGAGTTTACAGATTAAGCTAGACAAGATCAAATGCTACCGTGTAAATGAACTATTTATTGCTTAAATCAGTGTCTGCTGAAAGTAAAGAAGTGTTACGTGCAACTGTATTCACAACTGCAGGTATTATTCAGTAGCTAGTAAGTCATTTCAGTCAGTCTCCTACCTAGGCATTTATAAGATGCCTCTCAAAGCTTAAGCATCTTGTCTAAGCTATTCAGTTGGTAACACATTATGACTTCAAGAAGGATTTTTGAACATGAGATGCAGTTTCACTGGTGAAATACTCTACAGATATCACCCAATGTTAGTATGCTCATAGCTTTTAGAAATAATCCATTTAAAACAAGTTTATACAGGGATAGAGGCAGGGTCCACACATTCCAGCCTCAGCTCACAAGCAGAGCGATATTAAATTAGCAAGACATAACTTTCTAGCTGTCAGTGAATCCAGGCCTGGAGTGAGTTTAAGGGTAATTAACCTGAGGTCACATCCCTGTGAGATGGGTCCAAATTCAGCCTGCTTTCTCTAAGCTCCTCAGAGCCTGTATTTCCACATGGCAGAATAAAGGCAGTTGCTTCAGAAAGCTCCTGAAATAGGCAACACATTTGCTTCAGTGTGAAAAATTAAGGTCACATGTACTTAGACATATAAACACATGTATTGTTTGTCAGTGTTACACCATGCTTCATTGGGAGCCATATAAATATTCCACTTATGTTGCCCCATGAACAAAGTTGCACTACATGAATTTTATTGTAATATGACACAGAAGGAACAGTAAATTCACCAGCTACAACAGTCTTACCACCTTGTCACCACTAATGAAAGTCACCTCCAGAAGACGACACCCTCCCTTGTCAGCTTAAGGCAATACTATACAAGTGTATTTAAAACAGACTGAATCGCTAAAACACATTTCAGCTTTGAGGGAGATGATTGTTTTTGATTTCAAGCAGTCCCCACATGATCCAAACAAGATCACATCAGCAGATACTGCTCATTCCTTTCTCAGCAACAAACTCCCAGAGAGCAGCAGGTTCCAGCAGGAGATAATACTCTTGTGTAACGCATGTTATCTATAGAACTACACATTTTCAATTTTACTGAAGATGCCTCAGTCATACATAACTGAGTGCAAGAAGTGCTATCTTTTACTTGGTCAGAGAGGTGTGGGCTAACCCATGTAAACTGGCCTCTGATATTAAATAGCTAACTAAAATAGAAGTTGTTCCACTGATCCCATCCATTACATCATGGAAATTGTTATTTTGTCATGAAAACTCCCTTAAATACCCAATTTAATCTCATTAATACAGGAATGAAGCTCTCACTTCCAAGATAGCAGCTGCCACTACCTTTAACAGACTCATAGATGGTTTTGGATGCCTCAGAGTACTGGATGCAGTTTTAGGAGCATAAGGTAGTGTCAGCTTTTCAAACTTACCATAGGAAGTACTTCTACTGCTGGAAGCATTTATAGACAAAGTGTCAAGTAAATACCTTAATCTCTTGTCTGAAACCCCTTTCCTTATTTAGGAAGGGAAAAATTAGGCCTGTTGAACATCTCATCAATCCAGTATAATCATTAAACAAACCAAGTGAGGAAGACCTTATCTTTTGCAATACTGGGGGTGGGGGGTGAGGCAGCATACACAAACTATGTCAGTGCAATCACATCAGCAACCACTTCTGCCAAATAGCTACAAAAAGGCTGTTTTCTAGAGGGAAACTAGTATTCATAGTTTCTATTCTAGTGAAGTATTCACCAGCTTTCTTTGAGCTCAAGTGCCTGCTCAAGCCATATTTCATTAAATATTTTAGTAGCACTGTCTGATCAAGGCAGTGGAACATGACACAGATCATACTGGAGCAGTTTTAACAGCAGTAAGAATACATGCTGTAACAGTGCAATTTCTTCTCATGAACCCTCATAACATTGCTGTTATCTGCCTGTGCTCTGCACTTAGTGCTGCCTATCCCTGTAGTTCCACTTCTTGTAACATCTCTCCTTTCCTGAAAGAGAAATCACCTCCTCTATTCAACATCCTGCAATATCTTCCCCATTCTTTCCCATTTGTAATTCCCTGCATAGCCAAGCTCTAGCAACATTAATTCACTCATTGCACCCAGTGCCAAGTCAGAGCCTTGGCTAGATCTTTTCCTCCCCTCCTTTTTTCCTCCATACATAAAGAATACTGGAGGCCAAGCACTACAACACAAAACTACCCCACAGAGAGAGTATTTTTCAAGGTCAAACACGGTTTATACGCCTGCTAAAGGTGCTAAATTAGGAAACTGTAGAGTTGCAAATCACTGATAACAAGATCTTAAGGAAAGCTACAGCTTTATTGGGAGATTTAAGAGTTAAATACTAAGTAATTTCTTCCCCCAGTACTCTCCCACCATCATATCAGACTAGGTGATATCAGACTCAATTGTTTTATGGTAAAGCATTGAGATCAGGTTACAGATTAAGCATGGAATTATTCAAATGGCAGAATAGTGAAGTTCAATGGTCTGAAAAGATATATTAATTTCTATCTTTGGTCCCTTTGTCAGGTCCTCTTCCAGCATACTCACCACCCAACGTAATCCCGGGGGGACACTTGGCCACCTCTGTCATCCCATCTCCACCTCATTAGGACTCTCCCAGACTCCCCAGTCAAGCCTTTCCAACCCTACCTTACTCATCCTACCACCCATCCCTCATCCCTTCCCAACCTCTGCAGCCCCACATCTCCTTTGGCCCAATCCTTCACTGCAGAGCTCAACCCTTTCCAATTCCCACCTCAGCAGCTCCACGTCCCCTTCGACTCCCTCCCCTCACTTCCCATCCCCTTCCCACCTTTAGAGCCCCACATACCCCTCGCCCAAAAGCTCCTCGGCCTTTCCTCACCATCCCCATCCCCTCATCCCCCTCCCTCGCCCCAAACGCTTCCTCGACGTCCCCATCCCTTCATCCCCCTCAACCCTTCCTCACCATCACCAGTCCCTCATCTCCCTCTCCCTCACCACCACCGGCCCCTCATTCCCCCTCGCCCCCAACCCTTCCTCACCAGCTCCCCGCCTCACAGCGCGGCCGCCCCACCCCGAGGCCCAACCGCCCGCTCGCGGCCCCCCTTACCTGCCCCCGGGTCTCCCCCTGCACCCGGGACCTGCTCCGTGCGGCGGGGGGGGGGGGGGGGGGGAGGCGGCGGTGGCGGCCGCGGGGAGGGTGGGGGGAGGGGGGGAAGGGAAAGGAGGAGGAAGAAGGAGGGAAGGGTGAGGTCACTCACGGCGGCACGAGCGCGGCGGGCGACACCGGGCACCAGCGGCCGCTTTATACCGGGCTCCTCGGAAACCGTCTCCCGCTTCCGCTTCCGCCCCCTCCCCGCCCCCGCCCCCGCCCCCTCCCCGCGCCGGGGGTCATGAATATGCAGCGAGGAGGCGTGACCAAATGAGGGGAGGGGGGGGGGCGTTGCTAGGGACACGGGCAGGCGGGCTACGGGGGTGACCAGGCATCCCCCCCAGGGGCAGGCACCTGAGGGGGGAGCGGGAGGGAGGCGGGCGGGTCAGGTGGAGCGGCCCTCGTCGGTGCTGGAGGGGAAGGACGAGCCCGCCGGCACCTCTCCCAGGGCCGGAGAGGGGTTGGTGGCCCGAAAGGGTGGCCGAGCGGCGACCTGAGGGCGGCTGGAGGTCGCCACCTGGTCTGCCCCCACCGGCATAGCGCCCGTCTCCCACAGGCGCGGCGGCGACATGGCGCCCAGCCCCTCTTCCCCTGGCCGAAAAAGTTGGGTCGAGCGCAGCTGCGGGCTCTGTGCAAGGGTGCAGGTGGCGTTTGTCACTCCTACAATATACAACACACGGCGACCCCCAGGAAATTCAAACGCTCTGGGTCCTGATGGCAGCCGTAGTCCTGCTGCAATGTCAGCACCCCTACACGCTCGCTATGAAAGACCACATTTTTTTAGCACAGGCATGTGGGTTTTTTATTCCCGATTACTTACTTCTCCTAGCCTTAATTGTGCTGACTGCATTGGTCAGGGTAGCGTAATACTTAATTTTCATTACTTACATAAACTGGGGATGCATAAAGTAGTGTGTGACTAGCATGTAAAAATGCACGTTACATTGCATCAGTGTAATTGTTTTCTATTTCTTGACACGCTGTTAACTATATATTCAAAAGCATTTTTTTTTTATTGTAAACTTCTTTCTCTGCAGCTCATGAATAAATAAAACACGATGCATACCAGACTTAAGAAAAAGGAAACCACAGAAGGCAGAATGGAAGAGCTGTACACATCTACGCACTATTAAAAAGCAATATGAATCGTGAGTCTAACAAAAATACTTGCGATTGCAAGCCTTAAAGAAACAAAAAACCCTACAGTAATCTTTTATTCTAGAATGCTGTTACCAGTATGGATTTATTCTTAGACTAATTCAGACCAAGGACTGAAAAGCATGCATGACCACAATCATGCACAAGCCACTAAATTAACCATCCTCTGGTGAGGATTGCCAAAGTTGATTCAAAGAATTACCTTTTTTTGGACATATTACCGATGTTTATAAATATTGTAATGACATTGCTAGCTTTTTGATAAAATGTAGCAAACTAATTCTCTTAATTAGACCAATGATAAAATATAAAGCTACCGTACCGACGACAGCCCCATGGAACACCTACTCTTGACGGTATAACAACGTCCATTATATCACAACTGAATGTATGTAGTATACCTTAAAAGTTTATTCAACAGAAGAAACACAATATACTTATAGCAGTAGAAAAGACTCGTGGTAAGAGAAAAGCCTTCAGTGACTTTAGTGAAAATTATATGAGACCCTAACACAACTGAAAACACTGAGAAGGGATCTCAAGACGTGGGTGCAGTTACAACTTCAAAGATGTGCTTCTTGTTACCCATAGATTTGTGGCAGCCTGGGCTACCTGGTGTTTTGACACTTCGCTTTAAAATAACTGGAAAAAATAACATTTTTTTTTGTCATTTTGTTGCCTGCTGCTGCAATGAAGCATCGTCCTTACCTCGCCCTGACATTGCAATGTTCCAGCAATGTCCAGACATGTCCAGACGTGTCCAGATATTTCTCCATTGTATTTCCTTATGTGATTTTCACTTGAGAGCTGTTAACTGTCAGCCCTTAGCTGAGTCTAGAGTCAGAAAGGTTATTTTTCCATAAAACAAACATGTCATTTTAAAAAATCCAATGTTTTATAATAAGAGTGAGGGAGTGGAAAAAAAGAAAAAATCCAGGGATGCAGACCCACCTTTTCCCACAGAGGTTCTTACTCAACTCCAAATGCTCAACCCATAATAAACAAATGCATCCTCAAGTCTCAGCAGGGGAAAAGTGAGTGTCAGTCAAGAGACTGATGTGCTGTCCGGACGTGTGCTACGTTTGCCCAGGAGAGGGACTGATGTTTGTGGGACTGGGAGAAAATCCCCTAAACTGTGGTTGAGAGCGAGGTTGGAGACACGGTCTTCTTCGCAGCGATTGTGAGAGTCTACCTTTAGCAGGTCCCTCCTCAGGATGAGGGTGTTTGTGATTCCTGTTCCTCCCTGTGACCCTAGGCAAAGTGCATTGAGTTGGGGCACTTCAGAGAGAACTTTCCCTAAAAAAAGCATCCAGAAATCACCTTAAAACCTCTCTATGACTGTTATTATGCATGTTTCCATTTAGTGAGAGAAACCCCCAAGGTACTGATCCCTCACTTATCCTTGCTTCCACTGGTTTGTTTGGCATGCAGTACCCAAGAACTTTAAAAAAAAAAAAAATCTGTGGGACCTCTGAACACTGGAAAGAAATATCCTGCTCTAAAAGCCTTGTCCTCTGTCTTGGCATAGAAATTGAGCAAGGGGTCTTCCCTATTTAATGAGATATGTTAATTAACCAGAAGGCAGGGTCATCAACAAGCTGCTGTGAGTTCTCTCTACTCCATTTCACAGGTACTTGGCTTACAAAATTGTTATGAAAATTTACCATCCAGCCAAGCCAAACAAACAACACCCCCAATATTATTTTACATGCGTGTCAAAAGAAATAACTTGCCGCAGGCAAAGCGGGTGAAGGAATTTTACGAGGCTGCGTCTGATCCTCCCTCTCCCCTCCCTCAGACTGTTAAAGAAATGTTTGTATGATGAAAGGGGTAAGGGAGCAGAGGACAGCTGGTTAGGAATTAATGAAATGTTTGAGCATTATCATGCGATAATGGATTTAGCTGACTGTTTGCCAGTGCTCAGATCTAGTGTGAATTGCTTTATATGAAGCCCAGGGATTCCTAGATTATCCAAACCTCATGAGACTGCTGCTGCTCCTAAACCCCTGAAACCTGTGACTTTAAAAAAAGGTAATTCTTCATCTGAATGGACAAAAACCCTCGGGATTGTTTTGACTTGCTTTCAGACTTAATGATGTTTGACACAGCCAACCCTTAGAGGTGTCTCCTAATGGGGAGTGGCCATGGGTTTGGGAGGCCTGAGGCTAGACTTGAAGCAAATCTGAGCTCACAGAAGCCCAGGTGGGGTCTTCCAGTCAGGACACTTGTAAACGGGACATGAAAAATGAGTCTTAACTTTTACACATTTGGTCTGTAACTTATCCCCCGGATACTTCTCATAAAGGGTGAGATATCTGATGGGAAACCTGTGCTCTGGGCTTGAAACTGCTGTTTATCCCTCTTCCCACCCTCCCCAACCTATGCTGTCATTCAGCTGGAACTTGTATGGCTGTGAAAAATGGCCCATGTCCCTCGTTGCCTTTTTTTTTTTTTTTTTTTTTTAATTTCCTTTGTAAAAGCATTAGAATGCTTCTGGTTTCTCCCTGTCAGATGAGGGCTGTAGAATTGCAGCAAGCCAACCAAAGTGTTTTTGTCTGGATGCAGACAAGTCTTCAGAAGGTCTTATGGACAGCAGGATGCCGCGTGTGAGTTTGTGGCTGGGACGCAGACAGGCAGATTTGCTGGTCAATTTACGTTGCCTGTGGTAGCCAAAATTGGCTCTGAATTCTGAGAGCCAAATGGCTTCAGAAAGGACCTGCAGCTATGGAGCGTGACCGAGCCCTTTGCCCTGTGTTGTGCCCAAAGTTGGCTCATCTGGAGCCAGCTGGTTCATGTCACCCTACAGCAGTGTCAACAGTCCTAAGCAAACAGGGCAGTACGGGTGTAGGGTCTCTTTGCTTTTCTTCTGAACTGAAACCCGGAGTAAAAGCAGTAGCTATACCATCTCACACCATCCCTGTATGGAAGATAAACAGCTCGTGGTGGAGACTCAGCCTGACAGCAGTTATGTCGACAGGATGCTAATACAGGCTGTAAGATGCGTTTGCTGCTGCTGCTGCCACTTGGGAGGTCTCATCATGAGTTCATGCCTTGAAGAATGAGAGTTCCCTATCATTATTTTTCTGGTTTGCACAGCTAAGAAGTGGTACTAATGGCTGCAAAATTTATCCTGCCTCTTGAATTTATGTGGTCTATAATTATCTTCACAATAAAACTGCGAGGAATTAAGCTCCAGTGTAGTTTATAGTTGACAAGGGATGACTTGACAGGCCTTCAAGAACTGTGGCTTTCAGTCCTCACTTAAGTGCCAGGAGCAGTTAAAGTGCTGCTAGACAGCGTTGGAGAACTGCAGGGCTTGTTCAGTTCAGTCACTTCTTCCCTTGCAAGGAGAGACCGGAACCTCTTTTTTTTTTTTTTTAATGCTATTTACTCTTTCTGTTTCTCTCCACTTGGGCAATGAGCTGAAATTAGTCAGTTTTTCCTTCCGAGCTGCCTCATACTAAACCATGACTATGATGTTTACGAGGTTCCATTGCTGCACAGGGATATTTGTACTTTGGTCTCTCTATTTTTACTCAAAGCCAAATTGAAAAATGGATACATTTTCATCATATTGGGTTTGCAAAGAACCAAAATCCTGATCCAAAGCCCAAAGTACAGAAGGCTGTTCAAGTCTGAGATGATTTTCTAAAGACTTCATTCACATTTGCCTTACCCTGGTGAAAGCTGGCCGGTATTGTGGCCAGTTTACACTGGTGAATACAGAAAAAAGACCAGTTAGTTTTCTGGCTGCACAGGCTCCTGCAGCCTGCTGGAAAGCCAACTTTACTGAAGTTCCACTCGAGAGATCTTGGTTCCTTAATGCTTTCTCATAACAACACAGTGTTTCATGGATTAATTTATAGATGATAACCAGTTGGGTTAGTCCAGTGCAGAATAAAATACTTTATTTTATCTGGTCACAACACAAATGCTTAATCTATAGCTCTACATACTAAGATATGACCTCTAGTTAACTGAGCATTTATCCCTGTTCACACTGCTTTGTTGTTTTGCAGCCTTTTAGC